CAGCCAATCCCTAAAAAACAAATGCCAAATGTCTTCTTTGATATAAGGAGAGTAACTGACTACTCTTCTTTTGGTTTAAGTCACCTTCATACTGTGCCCAAGCTAATGTAAATTCTCACAACTATCACTCTACTCCTAATTTGCACAGGACACAAAGATTAAAAAGATGTTTCCTAAGGCTTGGGATATAGTTCATGGTAGAGCACTTGCCTAGCATGTGTGAAGCCCTGGTTTTAAGCCTTAGCATTGCAAAGAAATAATTGATTTCCTATTTAGAGTTGTGTTCTATTGAAAGAGTTGGTGAGATTTTTGAATTTTTCTAATAAGAATCTACTTAATTCATTTTGTTTAGTAGGTTTCTTTAAATAGACCATTTTAAGAAGATGAACTAAAATATTGGGAAAATATAATGATTTGTTTGAATTAGTTTAAGTATCTTGATGTTGACTTTTTTAAAAACATAATAATTTAACCATTAAAAATAGTAATAAGGAATAAATGGGAAATTGTTTCTCTTTAATATGTATTTTAATATGTATTGATCACTCCTTTGTGCAAAGTGGGATCTGGTTCAGTAATGTAAATGCTTTGTATTCTGAAATGGTTGTACAGATAAAAAGGGGGCTATTGAAAAAATATTTTACCTGTCATTTGGTTTACCTTTATTCAAAAATAATCTAAATCTGTACTTAACCAACTATGTCAATGTTCTTTCCTTTGCTTTATAAATCCAAGAAATTTCAGCATGCCACATTGATCATTTATAAAAGAGTTTCTGACTACATATTATTGCTTTATTGTATTATTTATTTTCTGTGAAAGTAATATTTTATATGAATTCTTTTAAGCTACTGGGAGCCAATGGAAATGCAAATATCAATTCAAAACTTCGCTTGCAACTATACTACCCACCTACTAAACCTCGATCTCAATTAAATGTTGTTGAGGTTTTTGAATGGTGGTCCAAATGTCCAAGAAAACGTTATCCTTCAACATTGTATGTAACTGTTCGAGGATTGAAAGTTCCAGACTGTGTAAGTTAATAGCACATACAAATATATACCTTCTATTGTTGAAATTAAATGATGATATAATATGTTTTCCAGTTTTAAAAAGATAGGTCTCAAAATTTTTAATGGAGTTTTATAATAGGAAAATTCCTGAAGAGATGATATATATTAAGCTTATGGTTAATAATGGTTAATACTCAGAGAGATACTTAGATGAATTTTAAGTTTTTAATGTAGATTTCAGTGTTAGAAAAAATGTTAAAATTTGTTGTTTTTTTAGTTAAAATGAAAGGATGATTTTAAAATTATGAGAAATATATTTCTTATAAAGGGCCTGATAGTAAATAATTTAGAGTTTATAGACCATATAATCTCTCTCAAAATTACCCGAATTTGTAGTGTAAATGTAGCAATATAGATATGGAATCAATCAATAAATAAATGGATGTGATGTGTCCAAATAAAACTTTATTTATTTATTTGTTTATTTTTAATATTTTTAGTTGTAGATGGACACAATACCTTTATTTTATTTATTTATATGTGGTGCTGAGGATCGAACCTAGGACCACACACATGCAAGGCAGGTGCTCTACCACTGAACCAAAACCCCAGGCCCCAAAATTTTATTTTTAATAAAATAATCTTTCAGGTCAGTTGTACTTTCTGTAGCTGATTTTATATACTTTGACCACATGGTCAATTGGTTTGAATGGAGTTAAATCACTAAGAAATAAGGGTTTTTTAATTTTTAAATAAGGGTTTTTATAATATTAGTTTTGTCATTTAAAAAAAAAATAAGATATAGATATCATAGTATATCATAGCCATGGTAAAATATCAGATAGGTATTAATGAGGAAATGAAAATGAAAGGACAAGGTTATTAGAACCATTTCATGCAACCATTAGAATCAACTTTTTTCATTCAAACTTTTAAAACTTTTTGATTATAGAACTTTTACTTGAAATAATGAAAAAATAAAAACAATTTTTTTATGGATTGCCTTTTATAAAACATTTTGATATTTGTCTCCATATTTTAAAAGCAATATATATGTATAAATGTGAATATATATATATATATATAATATACATATTTTTTTGCTAGGAAACATGAATGTGATATAAATTTTCTATTTTCTATACATGTCTAGATAAAACCATCTTACCGCTCTATGATGGCACTTCAGGAGGAAAAAGGTAAACCAGTGTATTGTGAACGCCACCGTGAATCAAGTTCAGTCGACACAGAACCTGGATTAGAAGATTCAAAGGAAGTAGTAAAATGGAAACGACTTCCTGGGCAGGTGAAGTGTTTAATAATACTGGATTGATTTAGATATTTACTTATTACCTTAATCTTAGACTTTTAATTAATCCATTTGACAAATAATAGAATTCCTATTATATGTATAGTAGATTTTTCATTTGGGTACCATAGAAGTTAAATTAGTTTGCTATGGCTGCTATAGCAAAATACCACAGGTGAAGCAGATGTTTATTCATTCATTCATTCGTTTGTTTATTTATTTATTTATTTATTTTGTGGAACAGGGATTGAACCCAGGGATACTTTACCACTAAATTGCATCTTCAGTTCTTTTTATTTATTAAGTTGCCAAGCCTGGCCTCGAACTTGTGATCCTACTGCCTTAGCCTCCCAAGTACCTGAGATTGCACACAGACCTTTATTTCTTACTGTTCTAGAAATAAGTGCCAAATTGTTGTTAGCTAATTTGATTTCCTAATTTGATGAAAATCCTCCTGGCTTACAAATGTCCTCCTTGCTATATTCTCACATGGTAGAGAGAGAGAGAGAGAGATTATGTACCACATGTTTCTTCCTTTAAGTGCAGTGATCCTATTTATGAGAACTCCACATTAATGATCTAATAAGCTCTCAAAGGCCCCATCTTTAAAAACCATCCCATTGGAGATTAGGGTTTCAATATATGAATGTTGATTAAGGTGCCAGCAAGGCTGATATCCTCTGTGACATCTCCTTAGCTTGCAGATGACTACCCTCTTATTGCTTCTTCTCATCATCCTTTCTTTGTGTATGGTTATATCAGGTGTCTTTTCCTACTGGAACACAAGTCTGTTTGATTACTACCCTACCCTAATGACTTCTTCTTACTTAATCATATTTTTTTTAAATACTCTTATCTCTACTGCTACTTTAACATGAATTGGGACATGGACACTATTTAGCCCATAACAGAGTCAAAACAGATTTTTGATATGTAAGATACATATCTCCTAATCTTTATGAATTCATGAATTTTTTACAGCCTCCGGTTTTCCTGAACCACATTTTGAAGGAGATAGCATACATATGCATATCCTTCTACAACAAGTTGAGCAACATTTAAACTTTTTCCTAAGTTATTCTAACTTGGTTAGTATTTTTTGTAGTGGCAAAAACATTGGTAGTACAGCTTTATAAATATCTTACTTATTTCTACAAAGGATGGAGTAGTTCATTTTATACATTTGAGCCATGGACAGAAGTTATCCAAAATCTAAATTTTATTCAAATCTCTAATGTAGAAATAGGAATGGTTGTTTTTCTAGGTCTCTTCATTTGCTGTGTGTTGTAACACATTTAACTTTCTTTTGCGACCAGTTTTATAGATGCATTTTAAAATATCTTTATTGGGGTTGGGATACTTCAAGCAATGCAGGTAGAACATCTCTAATGTGAAAATACAAAACTCTCAAAAAGTTTTGAATTCTAGAGAATTTGAGATTTCAGATTTTCAGTTTAGGGATGCTCAGCCACAAATGTCCAGGTAAATATTCCAAAAGCCAAAATATCTCCAAAATTTGAAATATTTCTCATTCCAACTATTTCAAATAAGGATACTCAACCTCTAATATAGAGAGAATGACACTAGATTATGCCCTTAAGGAAAGGAGAAATTAGTGATGTTCACTTTCATGTGAAAGTCTTGAGGAAAAATAAACATAAATGTAATTTATACATCAGTTGTTTTCAAAGTGTGTTCAGGGACCTTCAGGAATCCTGAGGCCCTTTCAAGGTAATCCTCAAAGTGAGTCTCTTCATAATGATTCCAAGGCATTAGTAGTCCTTTTTATTTTCATTCTGTTTCAAATACATGCTGCAGTTTTCCAGAGGCCAAATGGCAAGAGGGTGAATGCAGAAGTAGTTATGAAAACCTAGCATTTATTAAGCCAGATGTTATGGAGATTTTCAAATCTGTTCACACACTTTCACTTCATGTAGTTATTTTTCATAAGTGTTCTTTTGTTAACATTTAATGGATTTGTTAGTATTATTTTTGAAGTGAATTAAATATTTTTAAAATTTCTCCATTTTAAATTCTAATGAAAAATTTCCATGGATATGTCTACATAAACAAAAGCTTTGGGGGGATCTTCAAAAACAATTTTAAGACTGAAGTAATCCTGAAGCTAGATAAAGTTGAGACTTGAAATATGAAGAAGGTGAACTAGAATGGAGAAAGAATATTCATTCACAAGAGGGATTCGAGATACTAGTATGGATGATTTAGACGTAGTGAAGAAGGATTGAGTAGGGAAGGATATTTCATGTGGAAACAGAGTTGCAAATAAGTGAAAAGGGCTTCTTTGCATTTATTAGACTCTTGCAACACTTTGCTGACTGGAAAGCAGAGTTTGCATAAGAGATAAAGTGTCTTGCCTGATACTTGATTGTGTAGGATGTGAGAAACAATGGAAGGTTCTGGGAAGAAGAGAAACTTAATCATATTTCAGATAATAAATGTTGACAATGTCATGTGAAAGTCCTAAAGCAGGATACATTCGAATTAAATCTGTTGAATGGTATTTGGACATTGATGTGTGAGGTTATGAGGGGCTAACCTTGGGTTAGTTATGACAAAAATTTAAAGCAAGACATGGATATAAAATGTAGAAAATAAGTCCCTGCCTGATTTAGTGACTGCAGGAAATTAAGGTAGGGAACAACAGCAAAACTGTTGAGGATCTTTGTTGTTGTTATTTAATTTTTATAGAATGGGATACAATGTCAAACCCTGGAAATACAAATAACATGATAGTAGCTTCAGTGATTTTAGCTGGATGATTAGGTATGGTTTTCCTCAGTTACACTTTCTCTAAAAGCAGCAGCAAGTGGTTGTAAGTAAAACCTCCAAACATCTCCTTCAGATTGTTTTTTTTTTTTTTGTCTTCCATGATGTCTGATACATTATTTTTTATTGATTTTATTTTTTAAACACATGACAGTGGAATACATTATAATTCTTATTACACATATAGAGCACAATTTTTCATCTCTGTATATAAAAGTATGTTCACACCAATTCATGTCTTCATACATGTACTTTGGATAGTGATGTCTATCACATTCCACCATCATTGCTAACCCCCTGCCCCCTCCCTTCTCCTCTTACCCCTTCTTCCTATCAAGAGTTTGTCTGTTGTCTGATACATTATTATTCCACATTCCTAGTAGCAAATACATTCCTAGTAGCAAATTCCTAGTACAAACAAATCTTTTGAGATTTGTTTGTACTAGGAATTTGAGATTGCTCTCCCATCTAGAGAACAAGCCTAATAGTCTTTGACTGAGTCCATTAAGCTAGACTTAACTCTCTGAATATCCTTATTAGCTATAGTTAGCTAATAATAGATACTCTTAGCTAATAGCAGAGATTGCTTATGGTGTTTTTCAAAAGCATTTATAATAGGGTACAATATTCACAGTACACAACTAAGGGCTCAGTATATGTTTAATTCAGTTTTTTATATGACAAGAAATACAAAAGTAAGACCCACTAAAGGTTAAGAGAGAGATATTGGGGGAAAAAATAATTAGAGTTTTCTATAGTAGATATTAATACCCAGAAAATTGGAATAGGGAATGAAACCATATAAATTATGAAGAAATTTTAATGAAATTAATGAATGAGAGACCAATAGGGTATGATTAATTACTCTGAGTATCCAATAAATACATTTTAAGACCAGAGATAGTACTAAACCCTCCATAGGTTATCTGTTTCTCTATTTATACATAACTGTTTTAAAGTTTAATTTACAAATGAGAATCTATAAACTCCCTTCCTTGCAATAAATGGCTTGGTGTCACTCATTTCAGGGGATCCTTCGCTAAATTTTTGTTTAGGCTCAATGTTTTCTGATGTTGCTGTCAGTTGGTACACCTTTTCTGTTCATGTCTTCATGTCTTCCAAATTTAGTGCCTTTTCCATTTTAACTAAGCACTTATTACTCACTGGAGCTGTAACATGCAGTTTGAGGTATGACACAAAATTACCACAATTTTTTTTCTTTATAATTTCACAGATAAAAACTTATTATAGATCTTGGCATCCTCAGTATATGATTTCTTTTCTATAATAAATCTAGAACCTTCACCTCTTCATTTAAAGGAATTATTTCAAGGCTTCTCTTTGGCATATTTGAATTGCCAGTACTTGGGTTCTTTGGAGCCATTATTGATTAAAATAAGGGGTACTTGAAGATAAGCACTGAGATATGATAGTTGATCTGATAACTAAGAAGGCTATTAAGTGATAGGTAGCATATTGGTATCTATACTTACATCTGTTGATATCTATGTCACATAGATATGCAGGATGAAGAGGTGATTCATGTTCTAGATGGGGTGGAGCAGGACGATGCTATTTCATCACACTACTTAGAATAGTACCAAATTTAAAACTTATGAATTATTTATTTCTGGAATTTTCCATTTATTATTTTCAGACCCCAGTTGCTGTTACTAACCGAAAACCTCAGAAAGCAAACCACAAATAGGTGGGCAGGGAATTATGGTATATTTTAGAAACAGTCACAGAGGATGGTTATTTTAAGAGAGAAAAAGAAAAACGAATATTTGTATACTCTGGGCTTAAACTAGGTCATATGTAGTTTTAAAAACAAATTTGTCACATTAGCAAAAGTGACTTATTAGTTGCTGTTACAAAATAAGGTGACATATGTTCTTTTCTGTGCTTGTATAAAAGCAATGTGGTAGTGACAGCTTTAGAGTATCAGATATTGAAATGTTTCTATTCATATTTTGTATGAATTAAAAACTAGTTAGACATGAAGAACAATTTCACTTAATTTTATGGAGAACCAATTCTCTGGTTAGTAAGTAATTTACTATGGTTTTTCATTATTCTACCTACTTGCTTTTCCCTTTTTATTAAGAAAAGACACTATAATAATTTAAATTTAACTAGACTTTGTATTTTTAATGTTTACTAACATGAATTTTAAATGTATGTATTTTAGGCTTGCCGTATCCCAAACAAGCACCTCTTCTCACTGAATGCAGGAGAGCGGGGATGTTTTTGTCTTGATTTCTCCCACAATGGAAGAATATTAGCAGCAGCCTGTGCCAGCCGGGACGGATATCCGATTATATGTGAGAAATGATCCTACCTGTTTAATCTGATTGTAGTCTGTGTGGTGGACATTGTTTAGTTTTTAGAATTCATTGAAATCTTAATTCGAGTAATCCCCAATACCAGTAAATTAAACAGATTTCTTCAGGTAAACAGTTCTTTTATACTTTTATAACTTTTGTATTTTTATAACTTGTATAAATTTTAAAACTATTATAACTTTTATATTTTTTTCAAATATAGTGAAAATTCTGAAATGAAAGCTATTAATTTTTTTAAACATGCAGAAGAATTTTTGTAAACATTTTCTACTTTAAGTACAGAAATTTAGAAATATAAGAGATTAATAATTCTCATGGGAGATTTTAGTTCAATATGGTTAGTTGATAAAGGTGGTTATTTGAATTATAAAAACTCACAAACTTGTGCACTAGAATGCTAATAATTGGCTTAGTAGTACCCAGATAAAAACTTCTTATTAAAACAGGGAAGTCAACAGAGAGACCAAGAAAGATTATTTTTCTGTAGCTTTAGAGATTTTTTTTTTTACGTGAGCATTATCATACTGTTCTAGATTTAGAATTCTGTGTTAAATAGTCCCATATTTATGACTCGCTCTTGAAAGCCAGCTCTCCTAAGGAGGAAGAAAGCAGCTCCTCATGGCATTAACCTCCTCTGCCTAACCCCCAGATCATGTTGAACTTCACTTAGCTTCACGTAGTTTGTTATGCCTTGGTTGATTTAGTCAGAATTGATTTTATTGGCATTTTTTGAATGACTATTCCTTCCCATTGCAATAATAAACAGATTTTTTTAATACAAAATTATTTATGTAATTCAATTACCACTATGCTACTTTAAAATTCACCAAGAAACCTATGTATAGTAGAAAAAGATTCTTGGGAAATATGCTCTAAGATATTAATAATATATTTTTTCTTTTAGGGGGATAGTGAAAGAATTATTTTCATTCTGGTTTATATGTTGTAAATTTTTGTGATAGACTTGTTACTTTATGCTTAAGTTACTTGTTAAAAGTGCTATGTGTATTGTTTAAATCTTAAAATAAAGGGTGACTTTTTGATTTTGGACTATTATGATGTGTCCAAATCTGGCCATCATTTTAGCTTGTTAAATGTATGGATTACTGTTTTTTACAAATATGCTAAGTATTCAGTCATTCCAGTGTTCTGTTTGCCCCTCTCTTTCCTCTTCTGGGACACTCCTTGTACCTGTCCCACAGGTGTATTGAGACTTATTCATTTATTTTTTTAAATTCTTTTTTAAAAAATATTTATTTTTTAGTTGTAGTTGAACACAGTATTTTTATTTCATTTATTCATTTTTATGTGGTGCTGAGGATCGAACCGGGCCTCACACATGATAGGCGAGTCCTCTACCGCTGAGCCATTACCTCAGCCCCTTAAATTCTTTTTCTTTCTGTTCTTCAGACAGAATAATCTCAAATGACCTGACATTGTTTAGTAATTCTTCCATCAGTTCAGAGCTGCTGTTGAACCCTTTTAGCAGTTGTACATTTCAACCCTAAAATTTCTGCCTTATTCTTTTTTATTATTTCCGTTTCTTTACTGATACAGTCTTTTTTGATGAGAAATCATTGTTATACTTTACTTCTTTAGACATGGTTTTCTTCAGATTTTTGAACATATTTATAATATTATGTTTTTGTTGAAAAAGACCAACCTCTGGGTTTCTTCAATTTCTTTTTTTTTTTTTCTTCAATTTCTGTACGGATAGTTTTTATTGACTGTTTTTTTTCCTCCTGTATATGATCCATACTTTCCTGTTTGTTTTTCTGTGTATCATAATTTTGAGCTGAAAACTGGATATTTAAATTAAAAAAGTAATACAGCAGCTCTGGGAATCATATTTCTCTTCCTATTTCCTCTCATCCAAACCAGGATTTGCTATTATTGCTATTTGTTTAGTGACTTTCCTGGAATAATTCTGTAAAGTCTTTGTTCTTTGTCATGTATTAACATTGTAGTCTCTACTCAGTTTAGTGGTCAGCTTATAGGTCAGGCAGAGTTTTTTAAAAAATAACTATGAGTGGATAGGTCTGATGTCCTTGGCCAGGAAGCTGTGTGTATGTGTTGGAATATGCTTTCAGTGTTTTGGAAGACAATTTAAAACTCTGCCTTAACCTTCACTTTTTACTGGTGCAGCGCCTCTTCAGGTAGCCATAGTGTCTATACATTAGAATTTTTTTCTAACAGTAACAGTTTAAATTTCTTATTACTATAAATAATTACAATTTGGGTCAGCATTTAGTTCTTTTTCATGTAGAATAAATGAAACCTTATTTGTGAAGCCCCCATATTATAGTAAATTCAAATTTATTTGAAGTAAATTGCAATGTAAATATTATTTATTATAAGACTGATCAATTAATTATCAAAGGTACTTCAGGGTTGCCTTGAGAGATTAAAATGATTAATAATATATTATATAACTTTAGCATATTATAAAATTTTATGTGTAAATTCTTATATCTAAAGGTAAAGAAAAGCTATTTTTAAATAGATTATAAAATTTTGTTTGTACTGCATATGTCTTTGGTTGTATTTTTCTTACACAGTTTTTAACATATGTCTAAATTATTATGAATTGTGTATTTAGGTAACATTGAATTAAATATCCTCTATCTGGAAGCCTATTAATTTCTAAATATTTTTATTAGTATATGAAATTCCTTCTGGACGTTTCATGAGAGAATTGTGTGGCCACCTCAATATCATTTATGATCTTTGCTGGTCAACGGATGATCGATATATTCTTACATCATCATCTGATGGCACTGCCAGGTTAGTATACTCAGCAAGTTCTGATTTTGCATGCTCTTTGCCATGGAGGAAAGCTAAGAGAAGATGAAGTCATACAACTACACTTATGCTTCTGTTTTGTTTTACCAATGAAGGGACTGTCATAAATATGCATCATGTAGACTGACTGATTAAATAAGTAATCATAAATTTCTTCCTTCAAAGAATTCTTCTTAAATATATTTATTTATATAGTATGTAGGATTTCTGGTCCTAACCATCTTGAAATGATCATTAAGTAAACTCTTTGATTAATAGCTTGAGATGAGGTTATTATACACTTGAAATTTTTCCTCTGATGTCAGAGATTCCATCTTTAATCTTCAGCCATGGCTGGATTCAGGGGCTAGAACCCAATAGAGCTCATTACTTAGATATAGTGATGTAGAGGGAATAAATAAGTATGTGGTTTATGTTTTAAAGAGTTTTGTAGATTGTTAATTATTTGCATTTTCAATATCTTCTTAAATTGTCCCTTTTCAATTTAGCAAGTATCAATAATTTTTTTAAAAGCTAAAGTTTAAAGTTTTATTTATACTGTTTTTAGATGCTTATTTGACTTTGAATGTGTTCTAAAAATGCTAGTAGGTAATTTTTCAAAATACTTTCATATACATCATTTAATTTGGTTCCAACAACTATTAGGAGGACACGTTCTCTCTATAGTTTAGTGTGACACTTAGCATTTTAAAATCCATTATGACTTCACTCTCGTTTACATTTTTTGCTTCCTCTTAACTTAGCATGTGACTTGTAGCCTCTGGGCCCCTTTTTCTATTGATTTTACTCTTCCTTTCTATATAAAATGTCTAATTGATAATGATTTTTATCATTGTTGTTTAGTTTATATGTAAATGAAAAAGATGGCAGTTCGTGACAATTAACTTCCCTCTTTGTTTAGCTGGGAACCTACTTTCTTACTCCCCCTTTACCAATATGCTCAGGTACTGATCAGGAACAGTATTCTCAGGGACATCCATTTAGTCTGATGTCTGTAATACTAAAGGAAAATGCATAGCTCTATTAAGGATTGTTTGTAGATTGGTGAGTCTTAGTCACCTGAACTCTTGTCCCTACTGAGCAATCTTTATTCTTATTTTTATTCAGCTCCTTTTCCCATTCCTCTGGTAGCAGATCCAAAGCTCACTGTGCACCAAGTTCTCTAAATCACAGTTTTCAAGTTCTCTATACTAAATTACAGTCTTCCAGTTTTTGTTAGATGACTACCTTCAGTTTACTGTCAAACTTACACATGAACTTTCTTTATTTCCTTCTGGTTTCCTTCCTAATATCTATAAATGCACCCATCTTTATCTGTTTTGTATGTATATCGCAATTTCTCTTCCCTTCCCCAGCTTTGAGTCTCTTATGTGCTAATGTCTCTGTCTCCTACCTTTTTTTTTTTTTTGAGTTTGTCTTTTCAAACTGTGCTCATCTACTCCATTCCCACCATTTCTGTCCACATCTAACAAGCACTGAAGTCTGCCAGTTCTCCCTCTTCAAAGACTCAAAATTCTGTCACATCCCTTCTGTTGTTGATGCATTTGCCTTATTTCAAGCCCTAGTATCTCTTCTTATGTCGGTATTTCACTTTCCCAGCGTTTAATCTCTAGCTCTTCTGCCTCTGCTGTGCTAAAATCTAATCTTTCTAAAACCATCTTTCATAATACTTTGACTTTAAAAAGTCTTTGAATACCCATTGCCTTTGGGAAATGTTCTAAGTCCTTACTACGGCATAAAGACATATCCCTCATTGATTGTTCTTACATTCTTCTCTATGCACTTGCCAGATACCCTTTGCCTGACCCACACAATCTTTGGAAATACCCTTAACATATCTTCTTTGTCATCTCATGCCATTTTACCTTAGACTTATTTCTCCTATACTTAAATGCCCCTCTCTTACCCTTTTTACCTAATTACATCATTCAACAAAAAATTAAGTGCCTTTTATGAGCCATAGTGAATTGTGGTTGTCATTTAAAAATTCAGCCCAAATTTTCTTGAAGCTGTCCTGAGTTTCCCCACACAACATACAATACATTATAGAGAAGTATATTATTCTTTATGTAGCTTTGTTTAGACTCTACATTGTAAAAATATTGTGAAATAATTAACTGAATGAAGGGAGAGCAAGGACAAGGAGGTTTTTGAAAGAAATAAAGGATATTTGCAAGGAGTAAGCTAAAGTTAAAAGGAAGAAAATTAGGATTCCTAATAATCAGAAGTGGCAAATGTAATTACTGCCCATGTCTTCTTCTCTTTTCCTGGGAATCACTGTTCTATGTTATCGCTAATGTCTCCTGAGTAACATTTTCTCACTGACTAGCTTTCTGCCATATGCCTTTAGTCTAAATCCTCTTCTTTAGCCATTTGTAGATTAGTGTGTGTGTGTGTGTGTGTGTGTGTGTTTTCACATCAACAGTTCCTAATACAATTTGAGGAATGGTTCTCCAATAGGCCTATTTGGTGTACCTTATAATACTACTTTTTTTTTTTTGTAGTTGTAGATGGACAGAATGCCTTTTATTTTGTTTTTTTATTTGTATGTGGTGCTGAGGATCGAACCTAGTGCCTCATGCATGCTAGGCAAGTGCTCTGCCACTGAGCTACAGCCCCAGCCCTCACAATACTGTTTTAACTTTGGTCTTTGGTATGTTTTTTTTCATCCCCAAATGTAATTATTTTTGGGTATGTGCTCACCCACTCCCTACAGATTTGTGTTTCCTTGTTCTCTATGAGCACCCTGATTTCCTCTAAACCCATTAATATATGTCTTTTGATCTTGTATTCTGTAAAAAACACCACTAGTAACTGATCAGGTTTTATACAAAATGCTTCATTTTTATTTTAAAAATATTGTATCTACTTTAATTGCATGGAGCTGTTTTAAAGATAAGTTTGTTTCATTTCTGCCTGTTTTATAATATTTCAAATAATGCCACTAAGATTTATTAACAAGCAATTAAGATTTTCTTCTTTTAACTATTTTAGCAAGTTAGCAATTTTGTTCTTTTAGTAGGCATCCTATTTCATGTAGCATATGTTTATTGAAATTTTTACTGTGGTAAAATGTTTATGTAGTGACACATGTGCTTTATTTTCATTTGAAAACATGTTCTTTCATCAATAGTTTGGATTCTTAGTAATTGAAGAGCATATTCCATATTTGAAGCAGCTGCTGAGAAAATTCATAGAATGTTATTATTAAATAGTCAACTATAGTTTTCTTTTATTTACAGTTTTATAAAGGTCTTAATTTGCTTTAATTCTTATGCAGTAATTCAAAACATTTTGAACTATAATCCTTCCTGATTTAAAAAAAATTCTAATTCTAATAACTTAACCAAACATATTTTAAAAATTCACTATTCCACATTCATATAATACCTTTTTGTTGCTAGATTATGCCTAGTTTTATACATCACAGAAATGTAAAATACCTAACAAAACAGTTTAACCTTTTGGTTCACTCTTTGATCAAGACAATAATAATATTAAGTTTTGTATAAAATCAGCCATTATTTAGAGGAAGAAATACTGAGAGGGTTGAACACAGAAAGAGTGCCCAATGTAGCATAGCTTATCAGAATCTTTGATATTATTTTTATTTTGTTCAAGAATTCAGAGTAATTTCAACACAGCTTTAAAGTCTTTGGGATCTTCATGTTTATTATCTACATAATCAATTTTTTTGAAATTACAGATGTAAAAATCAATAGTCAATCCTGTTCTCTAAACCAGCACTAGTAAGCATTTTCCAGAAGCAATATATACAACATAAATGGCCAATCATTTAAGTTTCTCTCCATATTTTTAAAAATACATTGTACTAAAAGCAATATTTTACCAACTATTCAATGTGGTTTAAATAATATCGAAAATAGGTAGATTTTAAAAATATAGAGATATATCCAAATAAAAATATAGTTTTTAATTTTACCCTATAGGTTATAATTAATAGATATATTATGCTTAAGAATAAGAAATGGCTAAGTGTGAAATTTTTCAGCCATCAAATACATGGTCATATTTTTTTATTGCTATAAATGTTGCTTTACCTTGGTCATTGTTAATTACTTATTTAAGGCTTATTGTCTATTAGCTTTTAGATAAACTCTTATATGCCTTTCAGCAACAATATATAACTTTTCTATTTTTACAGGATATGGAAAAATGAAATAAACAATACAAATACTTTCAGAGTTTTACCTCATCCTTCTTTTGTTTACACGGCTAAATTTCATCCAGCTGTAAGAGAGCTGGTGGTGACAGGATGCTATGATTCTATGATACGGATATGGAAAGTTGATATGAGAGAAGATTCTGCCATATTGGTTCGACAATTTGATGCTCACAAGAGTTTTATCAACTCTCTCTGTTTTGATGCTGAAGGTATGTCAGAGAATATGTTCACAAGGAGGGCTAATTGAATGAAGAACTGATTTTAATTTTCTTTTTACTAATAAGGTTATTTAAGCTTGGGGGATTTTATGTATTGATGATTATTTGTGAATATTTAGGTACAGGTTACATGTAGGTTTGACACTGAGGGAGTTTTGTTTATATTTTTAAAATTATTAAATTTCTCAACAGATTCATTTGATATCTACTCTCAACAGTCAGTTGTGTATCAGATTTTCTTAATGTATTTATTTGGCTTGGTGATGATTATTCTTAGTTAGTTGTCTTTAAGGACCTTTTGAGTTAAAGGATCCAAAATTAGGGAGATGTGGGGGAAAAATCTCAAAAGAATGTAAATATATATGTTAAATGAGCAACAGGATTATTTAAATAGTAAGTGTTTCTCAGCTTTTCATCACTGATCAAATAACTCAAAAAAGAATTTGGAAGAAAAAAGATTTATTTTGGCTCACAGAGATTTTAGTCCATGGTTGTCTGGCTTCATTGCTTTCAGCCTGAGGTGAGGCAGAATCAAGGTAGAAGAGTGTGGTAGAGCAAAGATGTTCACAGTAGGGCAGTGGAGAAGCAGAGAGGGAGAGGAAAGGACAGAGGACAAGTAATACCATCCCAGGGCACATCTCCCAGTAACCTGTTTCTTCCAACTGTCCCACTGCCTACAGTTTCTGCCACCTTTCAGTGGTCCATTTAGCTATCAGTGGGTTAATCCTCTGATGGAGTCAAAGCCTTTCATGATCCAATCACTTCCCTGAAGCCCTATCTCTGAATATGGCTCCCCTGGGGACCAAGCCTTCAATACTTGAGTTTTGGGGGCATATCCAAATCATATCAAGTATACATACATATAAAAGGGAAAATTATAATCATTTAAAGGTTTCTCCTAGCATATGAATAATGTAGATGATATTTTAAAGATATAAAATATAAGTTATTTTTCTTAAAGAATTTTATTGTCTGTTAATTACTTACTTTATACATTATTTCAGACACTAGCTATGTAAGCTATAGCATTCATTAATTAAAATGGGATTCAGATCAAAATGATGATATGTATCTTTAATAATAATGTTCATCTATAAGGATGTCAGTAAATTTGGAACATATACATGAAAGGCCATGAGAAGAAAAGTGTCTTGAAAAATTGTCAGAAGTAGCTCAGGTTATAAAAGAGATAATTAAAAAAATATTTAGCCATAAGATATGCAAATGTGAAAATATCTCTCTAATAAGTAGAATTGAGGCCAAAGCTACAGAAGTCAGATTTTTCTTTACTCAGAATTAAAAAGAGCATTCTAACACATAGAGCAATTCACCAGTTGAATAAGCTATTTTATAAAAATAATAAATTTACAATTAGCAAACACCCTTCTATTAGTAATGGTGTATAAGATGACTTAATGCTAAAGAATTGAGGTTAAACTATTAACATTTGTTATTTATTATTTTATTCATCTCTGTTCATTTATTGAGTTTTCAGTGGGTTTTAGGTATTATGCTTTTCTAAGCCTATAAAGCAGATTATGTAGGATAACAAAGATTAGGAGTAGAGGTGCTGGTTGAATAATTCAATTAATCTGGCTGTAGAGTGTGAGCTGTATACCCATACACTGAAATGCTCATTTGCTGTGTTAAAATTCAGGTAAGGGGGAAACAGAAATAAGTATTCACAAATAATTTAAAAGAATGAAAAATTCACTTAAAGATAATTGGAATTAGATTGGAAGTTATTTTGCTTTTTGGCTTCTTTAAACTAACATGCCTTTAATGGCACTCCAGTTCTTTGATTGTTCCACTGGGATGTGGTTTCCTCTCCCTAGACTTCATAGCTTTTGTTTTTAACTCTTGCAATATTCATAGCTGAGTTTGGGTTTTTTTTTTTGTTGTTTTAAAATAGGCCATCACATGTATTCAGGAGACTGCACAGGGGTGATTGTTGTTTGGAATACTTACGTCAAAGTTAATGATTTGCAACATTCAGTGCGCCACTGGACTATAGATAAGGTATGAAATCGTATTTTGTAATTTGGAATGTAATTAAAGAAATTGGGAAAAATATTCAACCACATGATCTTAAGATAGGACATAAAGATACTCTTTCTAAAACAGCATCTCTTTCTCAGTCCCTAAAAAGTCAGTTATCATTAACTGTCACATCTTCCTGTTGATTAATTGATGACAGCATAGTGAATATTTTCATTTGGGCCAGGACTTTGTGTTTGTGTGTGTGTGTGTGTGTGTGTGTGTGCGCGCGCGCGCACATAAGCACACATAAGCGCACATATGTAGTGCTGGGTCTTGATTCTACAATCTCTCGCATACCAGGCAAGCACTATACTACTAAACTGCATCCTAGCCCACATTCTGCCATCATATATAACATATTTAAATAAAGACTAAAATAATAAATAAATTAAATAAATGAAAAAGACAATAAATAAGTAAAAAATAAAGAAAAAATAAAAAACTAAAGAAGTGAGGCAATGCGCTAGAATGTCTTTTTAGTGGAAAATGCCATATGACAAACTGGAGAGACAGTGATTATATCCTTGGCTGTAGTTCACCAGCAGTGTGGGGAATGCTAAGTTACAATCATCTGTCCCTTAGCCATGAAGCACTCATATACTGTTGCACATACTCTTAGTCAGTCATAATACTCTTCAAAGCAAGGGCTTTTTTAGTTTGAACATGAATGTAATCAAAGAAAAATATGGAGGAAATCACCAGACACTACAGGCATTAAATCTGGTAGCAACTTTCTCAAATTTGTACCTAACACTTGTTCTGCAGTTTTATTTTTTATTTGTCACTTTTGCTCCTGTTCCAGTTGCTCAACTCCCCACCAGTGCTCTCTCACCTCAAATTTGATGTAGTTTAACTCACTGAAATCCTCATCTGTGGTGTGTTTCATTGTTGTCTGTCTTAAAAAAAAAAAATAACTGGCTGCAGATCTTAGTGACAAACAGTGGTAGCAGGGGCTCAGCAGCTAATATTAGAACTGTAGCTCAGTGAAGCCCACCATGACCAGTGCTGAAGAAGTCCAGAGACACTCTTAAATGAAGGGAGTAAAAAGCAATAAGGGAGAAGGTGGCTAATTTAGAGTTCTGCCTGAAGGTTAAGAGACTTTTCTTTGATTTTTTGGACTTTAGTCTAAGTAATATTCATTTGCAATTCTTTTCTTTTGTCTGGTAAGCTAAAAAAGAATAACCTTTGATAATATTCTTTTGATTTTTAAAAAATTAATTTTATTGTGTATATTTAAGGTATATATGATATTAGGAAAATACATGCATACAGTAAAAAGGTTACCATTGTGAAAAATTAACAAATCCATCATGTGGCATAGTTTCTCTTTATTGTTATTTTTGTGATGACCAATTGGAATCTACCCCTTTAGCATGAATCTTCCATTCAATACAGTTTTACTACCTGTAGTTCTCATGTTATACATTAACTCTCTAGACGTGTTCATTCTATGATGTATCCTCTGACCTACATCTTTATATTTCTTCTACCCCTGCAGCCTCTAATAACCTCTCTATTTGAATTTTTTATTTTTTAACATTGCACACATAAGTGAGATCATGCAGAAAATTTTTGCAGTATTTTTCTTTCTTTGTTTGACTTATTTTACTTAGTATAGTATCCTCCAGGCTCATCCACATTGCAGGAAATGGAAAGAATGTATTCTTTTTTAGGGATAAATAATAGCCCCCCCCACATTCCATGTGTGTTTGTGTGTGTGTGTATGTGTGTGTTTATAGGTATATATCACAGTTTATCCGTTTATCCATGGCTGGACATAGACTGTGTCCATATGCTGGCCATTGTGAACAATACCCATTTATTTGTTTTTGTGGCCTGAGTTTTGGATGTAATACCCATAAACTCATTACCAAGACTAATATTCAGAGGCTTTTCCTGTATTTCTGTTCTATGAATATTTATAGTTTCTGGTGTGAACATGGAAATGGGAGTGCAGCTATCTTTACAAGATGATGATTTTATTTCCCTTAAGTGCCCGGAAGAGGGACTGTTGGGTCATATGGTAGTTCTCATTTCAATTTCTTTGGAAACCTCCATAATCTTTCCATATTGACTCTACTTTAACAGCAGTGTAGAACAGTTCTCTTTTCTCCACATCTTTAACTTTTGACTTTTTGATAACCATTCTGGCGGGTGTGAAGTATTATCACATAATGGTTTTAATTTATATTTCCTTGATGATTAATGATGTTGAGCCTCATTTCTTATTCTTGTTGGCCATTTTTATGTCTTCTGTGGAGATAAATGTCTGTTTTGATCTTCTGCCCATCTTTTACTCAGGTTACTTGTTTTTCCATTACTACGTTGTAAGAGTCTTTATAAATTTTGGGTATTGGCCCCTTATTAGACACATGGTTTACACATAATATTTTTCCCAATCTGTAGGCCACCAATTCGTTTTGTTGACTGTTTACTTTGTGGTTCAAAACCTGTTTAATGTCATCTCATTTATTGATTTTTTTGCTTTTGTGGCCTGAGGTTTGGATGTAATACTCGAAAACTCATTACCAAGACCAGTATTCAGAAACTTTCCCCCTATGTTCTCTTGTATGAATTTTATAGTTTTTGGTGTTACATTTAGATCTTCTATCCATTATGAGTTGATTTTAACATACAGGGTAAGATAATAGTAATTCTCCTTGGGCAAGGCTGGTGTAGGCAGGTATCTTTCCTGACATCATTATTTAATATCTTCTTTAGCTGCATCAAATATTGTATCTCCAAACTCCCAAAACCCTACCTAAAGTTGTAATCTAAATTAAATGATGTCAGAACGACATGTCTGTAACTTATGATTTTTCAAGACAAGTGGAAGTATATGAAAAGTATGAGATTGGACTGTAAACTGAAAAGTGAATTCTGCATTTAGGTTTGAATTTTATAAAAATTAGAAACTTTCTTATATGATGTTAAACCAAAAATGCAGTGTCAGAAGATGTGTATGATGAATGTGCCTTTTGTTTGGGACTGAAAATGAACAATATACAAAAACACATACTAATTAAATGCAGTATTGCATATTACAAAAAATAAGATTTGTCAGCTTCGTTTTCAGTCCTAAACTGCAGTTGCTGGGAATCTTTTTGCTAACAGTTTTACAGTATTCTATATAGTGGAATTGCAAGTGATGTTTTTAAATTAATTTTCTACTTTTCAGGCTCCATAGTTTATGATTTTTTAATTCATTTTAGGAAATTAAGGAAACTGAATTTAAGGGGATTCCAATAAGTTATTTGGAGGTTCATCCCAATGGAAAACGTTTATTGATTCATACCAAAGACAGTACTTTGAGAATTATGGATCTCCGAATGTAAGTATATTTTAGTATCAACAAGATGAGTACTCGTAGGATAATTAATAAGTTAATTTATATTTATAAAATGCAGCAATGGTTCTTAACCAGGCAGTTTTGCCCCCTGGGGATATCTGACAGTGCCTGGAGACATTTTGTTTCTGTTTTGTTTGTTGTTGTTCTTTTTAGTTGTACATGACAGTAGAATGTATTTTAACATATTGTATATACATGGAGTACAACTTCCCATTCTTGTGTTTGTAGGTTATGTGGAGTTACACTGGTTGTGTATTCATATATGAACATAAGAAAATTATGTCCGCGATTCATCCTACTGTCTTTCCCATTCCCATCCCCCATTCTCCTCTATCCAATCTAGTGAACTTCCACTCCCTCCCCACCCTCTCGCCTATTATGAGTCAGCATCCACATATCAGAGAGAACATTCGGCCTTTGGTTTTTTGGGATTAGCCCATTTCACTTAGCATGATAGTCTCCAGTTCCATCCATTTACCAGCAAATGCCATAACTTCATTCTTCTTTATTACTGAGTAATATTCCATTGTGTATATGTACCACATTTCTTCATCATTCATCTATTAAGGGCACTTAGGTTGGTTCCATAGCTTAGCAATTGTGAATTTTGCTAAGAACATTGATGTGTCCATATCACTATTATATGCTGATTTTAAGTCCTTTGGGTATACACTGTGGAGTGGGATAACTAGATCCAAATGGTGGTTACATTCCAAGTTTTCTGAGGAATCTCCACACTGCTTTCCATAATGGATGCACCAATTTTCAGTCCCACCAGCAATGTATAAGTGTACCCTTTTTTCCACATCCTCCCCAACATTTACTGTTACTTGTATTCTTGATAATTGCCATTCTTACTGGAGTGAGACAGAATCTCAATGTTGTTTTAATTCGCATTTCTCTAATTGCTAGTGATATTGAACAGTTTTTCATATATTTGTTGATCATTCGTATTTCTTCTTCTGTGAAGTGTCTGTTTAGTTCCTTTGCTCAATTATTGATTGGGTTATTTGCTTTTTTGGTGTTAAGTCTTTATATGTCCTGGAGATTAATTATGTATCTGTGATGTGGGTGGCAAAAATGTTCTTCCATTCTGTAGGCTCTTTGTTCATGTTCTTGATTGTTTCCTTTGCTGTGAAGAAGCTTTTTAATTTGAAGCCATCCATTCCATTTATTGATTCAACTTCTTGCACTTTAGGAGTCTTGCTGAGAATTCTCTTCCTAAACCAAATGGTGGAGACTTGGGCCTATTTTTTTTTTTTTCTAGTAGGCACAGGGCCTTTGGTCTAATGTGTAGGTCCTTGATCTACTTTGGGTTGAGTTTTGTGCAGGGTGAGAGATAGGGGTCTAATTTCACTTTATTACATATGGATTTCCAGTTTTCCCATTACCATTTATTGAAGAGGCTATCTTTTCATTTGGAGACATTTTTTTAATGTATCTGTTAGGTTAAAATCAGAGATGCTGCTAAGCATCCTATGGCTCATAAGAAACTGCCCCTGACACACAGAATTATCCAGCCCCAAATGAGAATAGCTCTGGGGCTAAAATGTAGTCCACTGCTTTCTATCTTCACCATTAAAAACAGAAACTTCTACCTTCAACAATGAGAGCATATCTTTTATCTCTTTGAAACTGCTATAAGCATCATATTGGTATATAACTGAAGCAGATGACTTTTGGTTAATAGATATTTGGTTTGTGTTTTTTGTTTTGTTTTGTTTCTTTCTTATGTATAGCAGGAAGTTGGGGGTAATGGGATTGAGCCCAGGGGCATTTACCACTGAACTATATCCTAGCCCTTTTAAATTTTGAGACAGGGTTTCACTAAGTTACTGAGGCTAGCCTTGAACTTGCAATCCTCCTGTTTTAGTTTCCCAAGTGTCTGGGATTATAGGTGTGCACCACCACTCCAGGTTTCTTTGTTTTTTGTTTTTTTCCTAAATGAAGAGAAAAATTTTTAAATAGAAAAGACAGATCAGAGTTCTGGGAAAATGCCTGGGATTTTAGTATGCTTTTGTCTCCATGGTTCTGTAATAAAACAAATGGGAGAAAGCTATTTTATTATATTTCTTTATTGTATTTAGAAAAACGTGGTGATATTAATTGGTAAGATTAATATATTAGTTTGATTCTGCAATTATCTTTTTAGTGCTGATCATTAACCTTCACTGTTTACATAGACTAGTTCAAGATCTTGGCATGGATTTGAGACACTGATAAAAGTATTAGTCCATGAAGAATTAATAATCTAGTTTCTCACCTCCAAAATGAAATAAAAATATTTAGTCAGACTAAAATATGAGACTTTCACAGATTAGAATTTGTTTATTCTTTTTTCATGTCATGCCTGGCATTAAATAGCAAGCATTCAAGATAGATTTTATATATATATAATATGTATACATATATATGTATGTATACACTCAATACATTTATACACTGTACACATGTACAAATGTGTATATATATTCACACATTATTTTTAATGAATATAAGTATATAATAAAAAAATTATATTTTTCATGGCAACAATAAAGCTGATAAGTATGATATAGTCTTCTGTTAAAGGTTCTATTTAGAGGAGATTTGAGCTGAATCTTGAAGGATGGACAGAATTTAGATAAGATGGAAGTGTTTCAGTAGGATGAAAAGCATGAAATCAAGTTCAGAAGTAGGATCATGTGTGTTCAAGGCAGAGGAGGTAGTCCATATGAGTAGAGGTTTCTTGACAAGTAATACTGGGAGTAAATTTTTAAGAAATAGTAATTAGAAATAGATTGGAAGTCCAGTCTAAAGAGTTTGGTAGTTCCTTTTTAAATAATATAAGATCACTCCTCAGCTCTAGAGGTGCACTGCTTAAAGTCAAATGCTTCACCCTTTCTAGCCAATTAACCTTTCTGTGCCTCTCTTTTCTCATTTCTCAGATGGAAGAAATAGTATATCTTACTTATAAGGGTTTTGTGGAGGAATAAAGTAGTTAGAACATGTACATACAACAGTAAAGCACATAGAAAGGACTAGAAAAGTTTGACCCAGTAACTATAGGTCTGGAAATTCATGTTAAGAAAAAAATTGAAAAATAGTATAAATATATATAAATTATAGATTGCTTATTGACATCATGTTCATGGTAAAGGAAACTGGAAAACATTGTAAATGTTACACAATAGAAAATTTATTAAGATACATTTAGGCAATGGTAAATATCCATTAAAATTATAATGCATAATGTATTTTTTTCTGACATGGTGCTCAACTATTCATTATTTATTGATAGACTAAAAAGAGATGAGTGTTTCTGTATAAGTGCTGAAACAATTTAACTGTTATTTGTAAGTGAAAAAGTCTGAAAGATTGTACACTATATTTAATATATGATTTGATAATTTATTTTATCTACTATTTCTTCAGGGACCAACTATTCTTTGTATGATTTTTTAAATCCATTAGAAGAAAGATATTATAAGAATATAAAAATTTCTATTCGTTTTTTTAGTAACCAACTCAAATGTTGCTTCCATAAATAGTCTGTCTCTTTAATAGCTAGTTTTAATTTCTTTTACCTAGATCTGCAAAGCACTCTTTCTTCTCTTCTTTTGTGGGATACATTCTGTATCCATCTTCTATTTCACATTGATACAATCCTTCTTTCCCCTGCTAAATTCTAACCTTCCTGGGCACTGGGACCAGCTCTTCTTTATTCTGCAGCCATCAAAGAATCTCTTTTATATGATAGAATCTCAAAAAGTATTTTGTTGAATGCAAATTTAGTATTTAAAAGGAAAGTTTTTCTACCAGTAATCTTTTAAATGATTATGTCATTAAATTTATTTATTTATTTGTTTGTTTGTTTGTTTGTTTGTTTATTTATTTATTTATTTTGTGGTCTATAGATTAGCAGCAAGGAAATTTGTCGGTGCAGCAAATTACCGGGAAAAGCTTCACAGTACTTTAACACCATGTGGGACTTTTCTCTTTGCTGGAAGTGAAGATGGCATAGTATATGTTTGGAACCCTGAAACAGGTATTTATTGGGCTTCAGAAATCTTTTTTTAAGGGGGAGGTATTGGTTGGGGCCTGAAGAAGTATAAAAATACTATCATCATATGGAATAATTTTTGGAAAAATTCTGATTTCAAGTTTTTAATTATTTTTTTAGATTGAATAGCCTTTACTGGAGCTGAGCCACAATCTAAACATCTCAAATTCTGTTCTTTATTGTTTTATTATCTTTATTTGATTTAAAATTTCACTTTACAATTCAAGGTTTATTCTTTTCTTATCTATGAGATAATGCTGCTTTTAGACATTTAATGACTGTAGTACAAAATACAAAATTATGTAAGCTGAATTGTAACGACATAGATGATTAAACACCTCTGTATTCTTTAGAGTAACAAAAAGACTCCTGTGTAATTTTTTGATGCTTGAAACTAAATTAGCAATTTACCTAAATTTTAATAAAAATTTTTTTAATAAATTAAACTGTTACCTTGAAAAGTTTATTTAGCCTTACCTTGGCTTTCTAAAAGAAAATCTGAAATTTCTTTAACATTTCTTTAACTAGAAATTGAAAGAATTTTTTTAAATTCCTTTAGTGAACTGTGTTTGATTTCATCTCATTGTTTTGTTCTTTCCTTTATCCTTAATTTTGACTAGGCAGCATACTTGTGGATTTTTTTTCCCATATACCGTGTGTTAACTTCAATTCAATAGCATCTACAGTCTCCTTTAATAAATGGATCTAGATCCTTTGTTTTTTTTTTAACTTCTGGCTGATTTTCTTGGGTTCTTTTCACTTCTGCTTTAAGCATATTTTAGTCATAATCATAGGTATCTTTCAAGCAGTGGATATCTCAAAGAGCCTACAGGGATAAAAACAGAATAGAAAAAAATTAATACCTCAGCAGTCCTCCTCAAAATAGAGAATTTCTTCAGTTTTAGAGTTTCGTAATTCCTCCCCTGGTTTTGCCCAGAATTCTTTGTTAGTTGTCATTTGCTCAGTCCTGACAGACCTCAGAACCATGTACCTCTATTCTTCCTTCTAATCACTTAGTGTTTATTTTGTGCCTTGAAAAGCTCATTGAAGAGGTTGGATTAAGAAGTGGAAAGAGAAGGACCAACAGAATGCAAAATAAAGATAATTATTTAATACAGGGTACTCAAATACACTGAAATATGTGAGCTTCATTAGAACTATAAGTATTTTTAATAAGTTGCAGAATAGTCTTGTAGTAAGAAATACCACATATAGTACAAATTATTGAATCTTATTTTTTTTTCCTTATTTTTTAAATTCAGGAGAACAAGTAGCAATGTATTCTGATCTGCCATTCAAGTCACCTATTCGAGACATTTCGTACCATCCATTTGAAAATATGGTTGCATTTTGTGCATTTGGGCAGAATGAGCCCATTCTTCTTTACATTTACGATTTCCATGGTAAGTTTGCTCCACATCACTCACTGCTTGCTAAGTTAAGAATATATGTAGATTCTGGGGCTGGGGTTGTGACTCAGTGGTGGAGCACTCGCCTAACATGTGTGAGGCACTGGGTTCGAGCCTCAGCACCACATAAAAAAATAAATAAACAAAATAAAGGTATCATGTCCATTTACAACTAAAAAATAAAAAGAATATGTAGACTCCACGGATATCATACCCTAGATAAATGTGTGATGACACAAATGGTGTGACTCTATTTTGTGGTAACTAGAGGCATGAAAAGTTGTGCTCCATTTGTGTACTGTGAATAGAAAGGCATTCTGCTGTCATGTATGAGTGATTAGACCAAATAAACAATTTTTTAAAAATATTTACTTTTTAGTTGTAGTTGGACCCATACCTTTATTTTATTTATTTATTTGTATGTGGTGCTGAGGATTGAACACAGGGCCTTGCACGTGCTAGGCAAGCACTCTACTGCTGAGCCACAACCCTACCCCACAAATTAATTTTTTAAAAAAATAATATATGTAGACTAATCTTTATGTTTAGAGTGGACAAGGAATCATGAGCACTGTGAAATCTGTTTATCTTTTGAATTAAAAAACCCTCATGAATATATATAAAAGTAAAAAAGATTAAATAGATTGTATTATTATGATGCTACAACATTTTATTTTGTTTTCTGTGAGCATGATTAATATGAAAATGTTGTCAAAAGTATTCATAATGATTGTGCTCTATGTTGAATCAGAAAGGGAGCTGTTACTTTCTTTGTAAGTAAACATAAATAAGCAAAATTCACCTAAAAATTATTGGAGAATATGTTAACTAAATTTAAGAGATAAATAACATATGTAGAAAATATGAATCTTTAATGTTTTGAGTTGAATATTGAATTTCTTATTCTCTTTATGTTTTTTATTAAATCAGTAAGTTGAGTTTCTTAACAAAAAGTGAGGCAAAGATTAAATTAATGTGAAAACAAGATCTGGAATTAAATTCTAATGTCTGTTTCACCTCTAAAATTACACTATTCTATCATTTTAAGAATAGCAAGGAAATTAAAAGTTTGAGTGCATTTTTCAAGAGTAGACTGTCATTCTAAGAATTGTTTATATTAATTTCTACTCTGAAATTAGGATTTCACTCTTTACATTAAAACTGTCTTTCTCAAAATTACAATTTAATTTTCTTTATATATTATTTTTTAAATTTATTTTTATTTTTCAGTGGACACAACATCTTTATTTTATTTTTATATGGTGCTGAGGATCGAACCCAGCGCCCTGCGTATGCCAGGCAAGCGCGCTACCATTTGAGCCACATCCCCAGTCCCTTTATATATTCTTATATAAAAAAAGGTCTTTATTAGTCTTTTTGATTTGTTTAGAATATTATGTGTCATTATTTCATAAGCTAATATTGTTTTATACACATATAATTACATAAGCACTATAAATATGTAAATATATATAGCTACAACATGAATTAGTACTATTTGGACAGTAATTAAATGAGAAATTAAGTTTATTATGTTAATACATATTAAATTGATTAATTCTCTGATAAGTGCAAGTTATTAGACAATTAAATTATTTACTGGAATTTTTTTATCATAGTAGATATTATATGATACCTTTCCCAGTGAATTATCTTCAAAAATAATACATAAAATCTAGATTCTTCTTATTTTGAAAAACCTGATAGAAGAGAATTAAATTCTGCAACTCATATTCAGATTTATAATAAAACACTCCATTACTAATGTCAAGCAACATAATACCATTTACATTTACTAGCATGTTAGCAAAAAGTAAACACTGCCTTATTATAGGAATAAACAGTGAATTTCTCATAATTATCCCATGGCCAAATCTGGTGTCTAATTCTAACATATATCCTGAAGTAGTTTCTTTTTTCTTTTTCTTTTTTTCTCTAAATCTTCACAATTACGAAGAAGAGTAATACCTAAGTACTTTATAATTGGAACTGTTACACAGGAAATAGGCAGCACAGTTATTTCCTTAGACTCTTAAGAGATTTCACAATGGTCTTCATTCAGTTTCTAATTTGCTTTATAGGCTTTTGAAATTTTCACTACAAATGCAAATTAAATTTATAATCTTGTTTTCTTCAAGCCGGTTTTTTTTTTTTTTTGGTCATTGACAGAAGGATTAGCTTAGGATAGTTAGGTTTGCCAATTTGTTTTTTAGACTATAGATATTTTGTTTAATAATTCCATTCTAGATGAACAGTGAGAAGAACAAAATATTGTAGCAATACAGTAACATGAGGCTTGGGCTCCTATTGTGTTTTTCAGTTATGTTACATAAAATTCTTGCCTTTCTGGACTTCCATACCCTTATCTATTAAAAGGTACTGCTAGTACTAATAGATGCCCTACCTAACAGAGTTATATATGAGAATATTATGAGACAGTGAGGGTAAAAGTGTTTTATAAACTCATAAGCACTATCTAAAACAAATAGAAGATAAAATGAGTTGTTATCATGCCCATCCATTTGATGTTAAGGGAACCTATGCTTTAATATGTTGATAAGCATCTTCATATGGAATGGAATTTAAAAAGCTTTTTTCCAACTCTCCTTTACTCTGTTGGTCAGCCTTTTCTTTTCATTTGTTAAAATATATGCCATTCCAGGTCAATTGTATTACAAAATAAATTATATCCACACTGTCTTACTATGGAAGAGAAAGGATTTCCATAGGCCTTTTAGAAATTAAGATGCTCAAATGATAACACCTGAAATTACAATTATTTTGTACAGTATATTTAGATCAGTTTTTTAACACATTAACATACCTTTACAGATTAAAACTCACAAAGTTTTAACACATTTTCCCAACTCTTCACTGCCTGTTTTTAAAAAGAGGAAGCTTAGGAAGAAGTAACCTCAAACCATCCAAGATTTAGCACAATTCTTGTGAATGGTATAAATCTATAAGAAATGAAATATTATTTTAGGCTCTGAAATGTTTCACTCATTAAATATAGACCAGAATCATCAATTCAAATTGTATTTTAATTTTTAATTGAGAATTAAAATGTTTAATTGACCTATCATAGTTTTATCTTTTATTTCTTATTTTGCCCCAAATCTCTTGTCTGAAAATAGTTAACAAATTTTTTTTTTTTTTTTAGAGAGAGTGAGAGAGGAGAGAAGAGAGAAATTTTTAATATTTATTTTTAGTTCTCAGCGGACACAACATCTTTGTTGGTATGTGGTGCTGAGGATCGAACCCAGGCCGCACGCATGCCAGGCAAGGGCGCTACCGCTTGAGCCACATCCCCAGCCCATTAACAAAATTTTTAATGGTATTATAGATGATGATTTTTTAAGTGATTTTTTAAATATTATTTTATCAGCACTTCTGATAATCTTCAAAGGAAAAGGAGCAAGCTGATCATTTTGTAAGTTAAGTGAGCTATGAATGAGACCACAGTAGTAGCTAAATGTATCATCCATCTTTCAGTTCTAGCAAAATCTGTGAGGAGTCAGCAAGTCTCTTTCCCTGTGAAGCATATGTTCAGGCTGTGGTCTTTTGAGTCTTTCATTCTACTGACTTTTTGCTTTTTTTGGTAAGAAATATGATTTTTACTTTCAGAAGGCAGTTTTATTTGCCTGATGTTGAAAGAATTAATCATCTAGTAATTCAAAATTTAGTCACAGAGTACCACAAATAATGTACTTTTAGGATTCCCATAATAAAAAGGTACTAGTCAGATAAACGGCTTCTATTTAATTAATTTATCAAGCTAGACTTCAGCAATCAATTTTTTTTATTATCAATATTTGTCTGCTTGAGTCTCTAGGATGCTATTTTACAAGTAAGAATATTTATTGTACCTCCATAGCACTTTTTATGTCTTATTACTATTTAAATTTTTACACTTAATTTTCTCATCTAGATTCCATTATTAGCCCCATTGCACAGCAGCCAGGGCCAATTCCATATTCTTGTTTGATACACTTAACTGACTTATTGGTACCTTCCCTGAAATACTAGCTTTTGAGTATTCAATAAACAAACTTCATGCAATTCCTTGTGCATCTCTGTGGACAGTATTTTTTCTTGGTACTTTTTATTCTTTGTAGGAGGCAAAGATAGAGGTTTGTTTGTTTTTTAATTACCTGTACTACATCTAAATACTGGCATATAATTAATGTGCATGTACTGTTTTAAGTAAGATCAAATCTTAATTTGAGAAGTTTCTTAGCATTATTTTATAATCCTAGGTAATGAGCCTAATTTTTCACTAGGTGGCAGTGTCTCCTCTGAATAAGTATTAACTTGAATGCATTTTAATCATAGTGTCTTGGGCAAGATAAATCTTAATTGAGCATCTATTGTGTGCCCAGTTGAGCTGAGCTATGAAACCCGGGAATCGAGCTCAGATGACCATATTCTTTTCTAATCCTTTGTGCTTTTTAAGTAGTTGGTTAAACCTCTGGAAGACTTTAGTCAAACTAAAAGGCAATTCTTTATGCCATTGACATGGCTTTATTAACAGAATCCATATTTATCAGTGGTCACCTACCTTATTATTTTTGTAGCTTTTTGGTTCTTACTGTGGCACTCTTTACCAGAGGTCAAGTAATATTACATTCCTATACAATTTTTTAAATACGTGCACATCACCTATGGCATTTATAACATAATGTATTTAACTTAGTACCTGGCATATTACTAACGTGCAGTAAATGTTCTCATTAAGAATTTCAAATCTTGTGCAAAGTCATTTCTCATTAAATTTTGTAAAAATACAGAATGAAGGTATCATCAGTTAGTAAGTTCAAAGCATATTATAATAATAGTACTAGTAGTAGAAGCTAACATTTATCAAGTATTTACTATGGGTCCACCACTCTTATGAGCATTTTCTCATACTGCCTTTGAGGTAGGTACTGTTATTGTACATTTTGTGCATAATGAAACTGAACACAGGAAAAATTAAATAATTTTCCTAGGGT